AATAAAATAAATGCAAGTAAAAGAATATTACTTGTATGCAATATTTGAAACGGGTATATATCAAAACCATACTTATTTCCAGCCATAAAGGTATAATTACCAAAATCTTGCTCTGATATATTATTGAAAAAATAATCTAGCTTGATATGAGAAATTGAATTGCCTCTTCTCTGGCCTTTCTCCAAGACAGTTAGTTCTCTCATTGTTGGTAATACCCTTAGTGCCAATTTAGTTTCATTTGTATTTGGACTTGTCATGCTGTAAACGTATAACATTTGAAAGTGAGGGTGGGGTAGAAATGCAGTAACATATATAGGGACAGTTAAATTCTGACCATAGTTGACATAAAAAACTTTATGTTTGTCTGTAGAAGATACTATTGGTTTAGAGAACATTTTCTCTATAATACAAAAAATTATAAACAAATCAAAAATTATTAAACAATATATTAATTTTATTTTACTATGTGTGTGTGTATATATATATATATATATATATATATATACACACACACACATAGTGAAATAAAATAATAAGTCATAATTTACTTTAAATAAAACTACAATACATACAATACAATAAAAAAATAATACAATAAAACTACAATACATACAATAAAACTAAATAAAAAACTTACCATATATTTCAACAGTCATTATATGTTCTATCTTGCCATATTTATTTTCCAAAATACATTTGTAAATACCAGCATCATCAAGTCGCAATTCTTTTATACTTAATTTCAAAAAATTTGGTGAGAAAGAATAACGAAAATTAGACAAGTTGGACCTTGCTTCTATCAGTCGATCATTTTTTATCCTAAACAAAACAATTCTAATACTTGAATTATTAATCATTTTTGAAATGTAAATAAAAACAATAAAAGCACAAATGTATAAGATTTTAAACAAAAAAATCAAAAAAATTTTATAATAATCAGAAACTAATAATAAAATGTTATATAAAATAAGATGAAAGAAAACAAAACACTTTATTCTTTGCAGTTTTATTCTTGTTTAGTGTTCATCTAAAAGGTTAGAAGTAAAAAATTGGGAAAGAGTTTAACATAAGTCATAACTATTGCTGCCCAAAACACAGCAGGATATACTTATAAAAATTACCATGTAATATTAATAGGTGAAGCACCTACAGCGGTACAATCTAAATCTAACTTATTCATCACTAACTCAACAAGTAACGATATGTCATTTTTTATTCTCAGCATCATTTCTATAATAAAATAGAAATATATATACTTTTTGTATCACTTAATAAACAAATAAAATTTTTTAGAATATATTATTTGCTTACCAATGGTTTGGTTTCCCTCAGTTTCTAAACATAAAATAGAACTTGATTTATTTTTTAAAATAAATGTCTACAAATAATGGAAAAGACATAGAGACAACAATAATTTCTTTCAAACAAATATTTAAAAAAATAATGTTTTAATAAATTTTTTTTTAATTTAAAAAGTACTTTTCCTATCTTAATTTTTATGTTATTCCTTTTTATGTTTACAAGTTGCAAACATTTTTAACTTTAAAACAATTATAAAAAAATAAAGAAAAATTAGCACTTATACCATTTAACAAATATTTAGAAATTTAAAAACATTAAAACTTGTAACATAAATCAAAACTACATTTAATTCATACTTGACAATTGCATTAAAATATTAAGTCAATAATAATAACATTATTACACATAAAAATTACCTGAAGCTGGCAGTAGATCAAATACCCTTTGAACAGATTCTTCATTCATAGCTGTTACTTTGCACCCATAACGACCAGAATTATGGGATTGGTAATGAGCAATAACAAGTTTTTGACCATTTTCAGATAATGTTATATTAGGTTTATTATTGATAACAATATCATTGTGTGTCCTACAAAGATATTTAACAAACTCAAAATATACTTACAACAAAAGTGTTCAAAAAATTAATACACACATAGGAATAGAATACTATCAAATTATTATACTTGACAGTCAAAAACTATTTTACACATATAACATATAAAAAAAAAGTTTTAAAAAAAAAACAATAACACAGATGATGTCAAATTAGTTATTGTATTAGTTGTTATTTTGAGTTATTCTTTAAATAACTTATTTTAACTTACCAATCAATTTTTTTGATTAATTCAACAGGAAGATTAACTGAACAATCTAATAGTCTAGATGAACTATCTTCTCCTAATTTCAATATATAATTAACTGGCTCTGTAAAATTCAGCCCAAAAACTAAAAAAAAATATCAAAATTAATTTATAATATTTTATAAAAAATTTGCTAAAATTTGCATCATTAACTTAAATGCTTCAATTACATATATGTTGAAAATATGAAATAAAAGAAATAAACTATACCTAATCTTGACATTAATAAAACCAAAACAACACACCAATCTGATATCATTTTGCTATATACAACATTTGTATTTGTAAATACACAGCATTAAATCCAACAATTTTTTTTTTATAAACAATAAAATCTACAAAAAAATTTGAATCACCAATTATTTCCTGTAACACATTGTTCTCTTTAACTAAATTATATATTTTAAGTTGAAACTAATTTTTTAGAATTTTAATGATATCAGTAACCATAGCTATAAGTAGTGTAATATTAGACACTGTACACAATAGATATACAAACAGCTTGTAAAGATTAGAAAACACTTAAAATAAGATCCAATCATAATTGGATTTTGTGTCACTATTATTATCATCATCATCACAATATATATATATATCTATATATCTATATATCTATATCTATCTATATATATATATATATATATATATATATATATATATATATATATATATATATATATATATATATATATGCAAAATATGCACTTTAATAATTATAAAACTCCATATTAATCACAACATCTATTAAAAAAAAAGTAATAATAATAAAAACTGTACTAAACTTAATAAAGTTATGTTACCAAAATTAAAAATAAAGGAAATTTTGGTAGCATATAATACTAATTTTGATACTCTATATTAAACCAAAGTTATATTTGGTAACATATAAAACCTACTTTGAAACTGTATTTTAAATTAAAGTAAATTTTAATAACGTGTAATACCAACTTTAAAAATGTATATTAAAGTTAATTTTAGAAACATTTAATAACAACTTTAATACTTATATTAAACCAAAGTATAAAATAAATACACATTTTTTTTAACCAAAAAATAAAAATGCGTAGCTTAAACAAATTTATATGAAACTTATAACTTTTCTTATGTCTTTTATAATTTATGCAGAAATCTTTTCTAGTAACACCATTTATTTTGCTTAACAATAACTTTAAACATAAAAAAAGATTAAAACAACAATAAATAGGAAAATTAAAAGGACGCCTTAAGACCTGTTTAATCATCAGTCTTTGTACTTACTATGTTATTGAAACATCATCTCCGCTTAAAACTTGTAAAAAAGGTCAAACTTTTTTAACATTTTCCCATGGAAAAAAACTAAAGTTCCCATGAATAACTGTTATAATATATTTTAGATTTCAAATTATTAAAAAAAAAAATTATAAATAAATATTTTAATATAAAACATTTTTAAACAAGAGAAAATAAATTATTGTATCAATTTTTAGTTCAACAAAATAAACTAATAAATATATTCGTGCTCAAGTTTTTATATAAAAATAATGATCTTGAAGCAATATAAATTTCAATAAAAATTAATTTTTCAATAGCATTTATAATCTTATAATTAAAAATTACACGTGGAAAAGAAAAATCAATCCAAAAAAATTAATCATATAAAATGTGGTGCATCAATTTTTTATTATATGCAAGGTGATTCATATGAAAAAATATTATTAAAACAAATTGGATAAACTCAGATTCAATAAATAGTGTTTTATATACTCTATGAGTCAGGATACAAAAAGTTTGTTATCAAAATTTGTTAAAATTACATTAAAAAAAATCATAATAGAACATATTTATATTAAATGAAAATAACTTAGCTCAAAAACTCTTTTCTCATTAAAACTTTCGTACTAGTAAAGCTTTTTACAATTTCCCTACACAAAATATTAGATTGAAACTTTAATAGAATTTTAAATTATACATTTTCTAATGACACATTATACATCAGGAATTATTTTATATAATATCTAATATAAAAGAAAAAATAGGAATACCAAGTAAAATGATAATAGTCAAATGTATTTTTTAAAAAGATTATAACTCTTTAAAAAGTATAAGGTATATACTATAATTATACCGATATTTTGCAATAATAAAAACATATACACACATATAATTATATATATATATATATATATATATATATATATATATATATATATATATATATATATATATTATAACATTTTATTATAATTTATTATATAAATATTTATTAAATCTATTTAATAACAGTGTTATTTTTTTTACTAATGTTGTACATTAAAGCATGATATCTTGTTTTGATTTTGTATAAACTAACAAAAGATTTTTTTTTAATGTAAGATTTATAAAATAAACAGACCAAATATTTACATTACTGTTATTATTCTTTTAAAGTATTTTATTACGAATACTAAAATCATATATATATATATATATATATATATATATATATATATATATATATATATATATATATATATATATATATATATACATTTAAATTTTTAAACACAAATTATATAATTATTTTAATCAACAAGACAAAGATTTTATATTTGGTAAAATAATTTTAAAAAACTTGTTTAATCTGTTACATTGTCATCCTCAGTATAACTAAAATAAAATTGGTATAAAATACATAAACAATATAAACAATAACTTTGAAACTTTGCGGTCAAAATATAATAAAACCTTTTTACTATTTAGTAATAATAAATTTGATTCTTCTCGAACCATTATTCTAATAAATGCGATATTATTTCAAAATTGATTTACTTCTTTAAGACCATACATAAGTACTAAACATTTTGTTAAAATTTTTTACAAGTTATTTTCATATTATTTTTAATCACAAAGGCATTAGTAACACGAGTCTTAAAGCCTCACAATTAACAAGAGGTTTGAGTTTTTCGATTTATTAGCTCAAGAAACATTATATGGATAAGGCTTTTGAAAATTTTTAACAAGTCAACAATAGAATGTCCTGCAACTTTTAATTCATTGTATGGAAGCTTTGACAAGCGCAAACTCTTAAACTTATACCGGGAAATCACTTTTAATTGTTTTACAGTACCGCTTCCTATCTAATGTCTGTTATTTATATACTTTTCCTTTATCCAGTCGACTGCATTAATAAAGAAGCATAATTCTGTATCATTGATACGTAATAAAAACTTGTGTATTTAGCGATAGGCATTAATTTGTGTTGCATGATCTAGCTTAAACTATAATTCGATATTTTCTACAGAAACTACTATTTACTTACTGTTAAGGATGTAACATTTTGACAAAAACCGGCTTTTAAATTTTTAAATTTGCCGCGCGAGTCGTAAGTATTTTTATGCTCGAATATTAGCTAATTTTTCTTTTGTAAGATATAAAAGAAAAGAAAATTACTAAATGAGGTTAAGTTATTTTGAACTCGGAAAATAGTATCTTTTGTATCGAAGCCAATCAAATTAAAAGATTTAGGCGCAATTAAAAATAACGTTTGAGCTTAAAGAATTAATACAAACAAATTATTTTCTTTGTTGTTATTTGCTCTTGTTCTGTTGCTCGTTGTAAATTTTCCGAGGCAATTTTAAAACATGTCAAATTAGAGTATTTTGCAAAAGTTGTGGTGGTTAGAGCCTAAAAATAAAAACTTTTAATATTTTATTACCCTATACTCCAAAATATATGAACAAGTGTATAAAAATATTTTATATTACTCTAAAAGCATCCACTACCACTATTTATTGCAAATTTAAAGTAATTATGAAAAAAGAAAAGCTTAAACTTCGCATTATGCCTAAGAATTTAGTTACAAGCCTGATTGCTACTCCGTTATTGACATTAGTATAAATCGTATAAAACGATGGGCAATGCTTGATAAGGTAGTGTTTGTAATTTGCACATTTCAAATAATTTAATCAAATATTAGATTATAACTACACCCTATGGGAATACTTGAATCGATTGTACGCAATAGTCTGGGTGTATTCACTTTCTTTGTTTATTATAATGCTTCATGTTGTTCATAACTTTTCTAGTGTTCATTATATAAAATATTGTTATGATAATAACTTTGATTTATAAAAAAAAACAATTACTTTTTATAATACCTCAATAAAAATAAAATGTTTTCATAAACTTTGTAATTCTTAATACGTACTCTTAAAAAAATACTGTCGTAGAACATTATTAAAACAAAATTATAAGCGAACCAAAAGTGAATAATAACATTAAATAAAATATCGAAGTATTAGTGAGAAGTGATCTAACTCTTTTTCTTCTCTGTTAAATTACAACTTTTAGCTCGAAAACTCTTTTCTCATTGAAACTTTCGTACTAGTTACAAAAAAATATTTTTGATTTCAAAGTTTTATTATAAACAAGCTTTGGCACAGCGACACTCTTTAAACAACTATTATATTTTAAAATGATAAATTATTCGTATTCAACTAAAATATCTTATCTAAATCTTTGAGTGTTTTATGGGTTATAACATGATTACGGAAAGAAGTATAGCAAAGTGAGTATGTCGGGAAAATGTCGGTTTATTTTGAAAGTATTTAAAGAATGACGTTAAATATCCAAATTTGCATAGTTTTCAGAGAATGGCGGTAACTTTGATCTGTGGTAATGAATTAAAAAAGGTTCGTTTACCATAATGATCTAGTTTAAATAAAATCTGGTTTTGCGGCATTGAATGTACACTTTATCCAGTTCTGTTTGTTTTTAATAGAAACTTTTGCTTTTTTATTTAATCATAAAATTATCAATTTACGTTACAAAATCTTTAAAAAAACAAAACAATAGAAGTAGCACATAAGTGTTTTTAAGATGCAAAAATAAAAAAATGAATGTAAAAAGTAATTGCAAATCTGTTAAACCGTAATTACCTGGCCTTCGTCATAAACAATATTTACGCAAAATGACTAAGTACAGTTTTAGTTTATCAAAACGGTAATAGCGTTTTCGTTCAACAAAACGATAATAACGTTCCTTACTGATGTTTATTTGATAAGTCATTTTCTAATTTAATGGATTAATAAATTAAAAAAACTACTTAATAGTTTCAGATATTGAAATAAGAATATGGCGTTTAGATTTACAATTTCAACTTTTTTAAAATAATTCAAAACAATTCGATTTTCATTAATCAAATTGTTATTAGAATTTTAATTATACGTCTTATGGCAAGTCAATTATAGGTCTAAATGACTTAACTAATGAGCAGATATAAATGAAAATTAACTTTATTCATGCAAATATGCATGAATAAAGTTAATTTGAAAAAAATAGTTTTTTTTGGCCAAAGACCTTTTTGTTTTCAGTCTCC